CATATTGTATTCATTTCTATGTTTGGTTGGCTCAGGAGATTTTTGTGGCCTAGCATATGTGCTGATTCCTTAAGTTTACGAATTTTCGAATGGTGTTCTTTGTCTATGATCTCAACCTGATCCCACAGAGGGTGGTGATCTGCCTTCTCTCTCCATATGTGGTGTTCTTGATGACTTACCTTAAGGTAAGGCTTCAAGAACACCAGAAAGCTGTAACACAAGGGGAAGTGGAAAAATCAGGCATGGCTGACCACATATGGAGAGAGAAGGGAGAACAAATGCCATGCTATCAATCTCGTACTATGCTTAAATTCATAAAGTCTAGGTACCATAGAGGAAAGTTCATCAGTACAAATGCCATGAACATACTTATCAGATTAAGAAACTGTTAGCATAGAACTTATGGTTACATCTATCCTTTTCAGCTGTAAAATGATGAGACCTAGCTGCCAATCTAGTTTTGTACTTAACCTCATAAGGTCTAGATACCATAGAGGAAAGTTCATCAGAACAATTACCATGAAAATATTTATAAAAAAGGAAGCTACTTTATAGCAGTGGGAAAGTGACGAAACACTGAGACGCTAGGTTAGAATCAATAATATTGCAGATTCTTCTTTGGATTCTATCAAGAATCTCTAAATACATAGCAGAAGCAGCAGACCGGAAATGGCAGCAATCAACACATGGACAAATGGTAGGCAAAACACATTTTAAAAGTAGTGCCACATTTTTAACTAGAGAATAAAAATTGGCATAAATCAACAAAAGTATAAAAGAAAATATGCAGATATCAAGGATGTAAGCACATTGTCAAGACATGACATTTGCAAATAAAAACTAAGTGCAGATAAATCTGTAAAACAGTAAAAGTCAGATTTGGTTTGGTTTATTTTACAGCATACCAACATCAATGGGCTATTTAATGCCAACAATGTTTTAGGATAGGTTCATATGTATTCTTTGTAAGAAATCAGTTTGTATATCAGGTTTCATTGACATATTTTTGTAAAGAGGGTATTTGTCAATTGTCAAATATATTGTTGGCAATATTTTTTTTCAAAAATGTACCATTGATAATATTTTTTTCCAAAAAAATGTACTACTGGTAATTTCTTCTCCCCCCCCCACAAAATGTATAACTGGTAATATTTTTTTTCAAAAATGTATTGCTGGTATTTTTAACATCTATTTTTATACTTTCATAGTGTTTCGACCCTAGTTTGAGGGTTAACTTTGCCCATAGCTGGGACCCTAACAGGTGCTAGCACCCAGGTCAGGGTGGACCTGAGAACAACAGCAATCAAGAGGTGGCACCAGGCTCCAAAAAAAAAAAAAAAAAAAAAAAAAAAAATCCCAATCAGAGGCCTTCCTGCCGGATGTAATTTATCGTTATACCTCGGACTGTAAAAAAAAATCCGGGTCAACTTGACTATGAACAGGATCCCCTTTTAAATTGATTTAAAAAAGTGAATATTTTACTATTCTGACAAAATGTCGCGACTTGAGGAAGGTCTAAAAATGCTAATCTACAAAAAAAAGAAAACATTCCACAGAAAATTTTTCCTATTTTTTACGAGTGGACCATAAGTAGTGTCTCGTTTAAAAAAAAAAATTCATTGTAAGCCCTTATGTGTTTGTTATTCAAAAAAATTTTGATAAATGTTAAAAACTGATAATTTGTTTTATTTTAGTGACAGTAAATAAAATTTAGTGTTTGGTGACCGATTCAGTAATTAATGAGTTTCTGTTTGTCCAAAGCAATCAAAATTAATGATGAAGACGACTATTTTTTTTAGTTAGGATGGTCGAGATCACCGTCATCAGCAGCACCATCAACAAAATCTTCTTAATTAATGTCAGTGTAAAAGTAAAATGAATTGTACCGTCGCAGAAATGGCATGGATACACAAGATCTAAACATGTTGGATAATTATTTATTCATTTACTCATGATAAAAATGTTGCCAGCAAAAAAAAAAAAAAAAAAAAAAATAAAATAATAATGTATTTAAAGATTTCGATTAAGCACTCGCACACAGATTTTTTTCTTTGTTGCCATCGTTACCTCGCTAGGAAAAAAGGCGTAGTTGAATTTTAAATGTCAATTGAATTAACTTTGACACGCATCAACTATAACCTGATTGACATTTGTTGTCACAATCCGATAAAATCTTTTAAAAAACAAAATATTGTTTAAAATAAATAATTTTGTATACAAATATATCCATTTTATTTTTCATTCAAGTATAATAAAAAAAATGAATTATTTTTTTCTTTGCTTTTCTAAGAAAAGCTCAGATGGTTTTTTTTTAGTTTTTCATAAAAAAAAAAATCTTGTTAAAATTAATAATAGCAATTTACTTAAGCTTAGATGTGGTACAAGACCGAAAATATAGAGCACTTAAGCAATCTTTATTTTATTTTTTAACAATCCATTTTCTTGCGACGATATGAAATTAATAAATTATAAATACTGCTGCTTAGCTTCTTACAGTTTTTTAAAGCGAAGGCAGAGTTACACATGTTACACAATAGAAACGCCCACTACAAAAAAAAAAAAAAAAAATCCGATGTTATTTTTACTTTTAAAAAATGATATCGCAATAACGTCGATTCAATTTTTCAGTTCCATTGTTTTAAAATCTTTTTTTAAAGTATATTATCCAAATAACACTGAAGAATAACAAACTCCAAACCAAAAAAAAAGATGTTTTTATTTATGCAAGTTTTTTTTTTGTATGTTTTTTTTCGTTTCTTTTTTTTTTTAGAAAGTGGTGAAATAATTAATCTTTTTTTTTTTTCTTATATCACCGTAAACATGCAATGTGCAATGATATATTTTTTAAATTATAAATAAAAACAAGATAAGAAATATTGTAATTTTCAGAAAGCGGCCAATCCGGTGCATTTTTTTTTTTCAGTAGAATCAACAGACTTTACACCGGTGGTTATAAATGTATTAGTTAACGTTTTGGCGGGAAATTTAAATTTTAATCACCGGATATTAACTGCATGAACGAATTTTACAAGCAAAAATAATGAAAACGACAAAAGAGCTCGCAATGTAAGTATTCTTCTTTCCTACTATTTTAAAATTTAGAATTTTGGTGGTTGTACAATAATATGCACTGCGACCAGAAATAATCACTTTTTTTGTTCATTCTCTCCAGATCACGAATTATTCAACTTCAACATTACTTAAGTTAATTATAAAATTTAATAAGGTATCCAAATACAGTGTAACTCGGATAACAGTGTTGTCGGGACCGGAGACGAAGTCTCTTATATCCGGGTTTGGTCTATTTTTATATACATTCTAATTTGGGACCAGGGAAAATCTCTCTTATATCCTAAATTTGCTTCTTAATTTCCGAGCTACATATTTTTCGAAATCGTCATATTTCCCTATAGATGTACATGATGAACTCGAATTAACAATTAAATTATAAAACCTACCGTTTTGGATTTAATCGCGGTCATTCACCACCATTCCCGGCTAATGAGATTCATTGATTTTTGGCCTGTTTACTATTTTCACTACTCTTACTCGTCGAAATTACTGCGCATTATCGTAAATCAATGACAGCTGGGCGATATTTTTTTTTTTTTTTGGTAAGTGTAGTTTTTAAAACTTGAAACAAAAACAAATATTACAGTGAAACTTTTTTTCTGTGTAGAATAGCAATGACAAATTAAAAAAATTAAATAATATAGTTGAGTAAAGCATTTTTTATTTTTAAAAATTGAAAATAAAACAATAATTCGTAAACTTTGTAAAAAGCAAGGTAATTTACAAAATCACAATGTAAGAAAATGCTAGAAAGGAAATTCCAACACGAACAAATTTAGGATTTTCTTTTTGTTCACTATAGATAGAGATAAGAACAAAACGAACCCCAAACCTTGTTATATTGCTTTAGCTTTACGATAGTGCGCAGTAATATCGACGAGTAAAAGCAGTATATAGGCCAAAAAGTTATGATTGCTCTGCGGAAGTGAATGTAAGTCATCGGCAGTGAATCTTACAGAAAACCGTGAATAAATCCGATTTTTTTCTGGTCAATAAATCCAAAACGGTAGGTTTATAATTTCATTGTTAATTCGAGTTCAGCATGTACGTTTATACGGAAATATGACGATTTCGAAAAATTTTAATAGATATTTAGCTCGGATTGAAAAGCAAATTTACCAACGGTTAAATTGCAGTGTAAGACCCGCGCTCAGTTTCTATTAAAAATTTCCCAAATTGTTATATTTACGTGTAAAAATGTACATGCTTAATTCGAAAATAACAACGATAATTTGATAAAAATAAAATCTACCGTTTTCGACTTATTAACATTAAGTTTTTTTTTTTTTCCCTTTTGTTTCTGGCCTGCGTATTAATCAACACGTGTAGTTTCGGCGCATCACTCGAGGCAAACGTATGTAAACTACGCCATTAATGACTGCTGTAGCCGCGACTCAAATGAGTCCGAATTTTTTATTGTCGATAACTTCAAAACAGTAGATTTCTGTAAACTTTTACTGTTATTTTCGAATTTAGCATGTACAATTACACCTAAATGGATATATTTGGGACACTTTCATTAAAATTTGAGCGCAGGTCTTACACTGCAAATTACCCACTTATCAACAATAAAAATTCGGACTCATTTGGATCTGATCTGTCTGCCATTACAGTCGTTGTTTAAACACGTTTGTCTCGTGTAGGGAAGCTTATTTAGTTAACCTTTTTAACTCGTCTCAATTACTGTACAAAGTCTAAAGAAGTCTTTAGACACTTTTTTTTTTTTAAGTGAAGCTTTTATTTAATTTTACTTTTTGTAAATTTATTTTAGAAAATCAGTAGTGAAGCTTTTTTTTTTTTTTTTTTTTAAGATTATTCACATTCTACCGCAGAAATGTCGGACTGTACACATTGTTCACTGAACCTGTACGAAGCAATTCAACGTTTCCGCTTGAATGAAGTGGCGTCATTAGACTTTTTCCGGCTCCATGGAGTATTACCATCTTCTGTGGAATGCCCACGATGCCATTTACCTTGCTCGTTGCGTTCCGAACGGAAAATATGGCGTTGCAGAAATTCTGTCTACCCTCGTAATGGCCAGAAGCGCTACGACCGCCGGAAAACAGAATGTGGCTACAGTGTTAGTGATAGAAAAAATACATTCTTGGAAAAGTCCCGCTTGCCTGCATGGAAAATGCTACTCTTTGTGAACCATTTTCTTGATCGTACCTGGAGTCACCGGATTATTTTTGAAAACTTGGAAATTGCAAAGCACACATCAGTCAATTGGCGCTCCTTCTGCAGTGAGGTGTGTCAATTTTGGCTAGAACATGGTCAGGAAAAGTTGGGTGGACCAGGTGTGAGAGTAGACCTTGATGAGACCGTTCTCACTAAGCGTAAATTTAACCAGGGACGTAGAGTGAGAGTGGTCTGGATTTTTGGTGGAATTGAAAGAGTCTCAAAGAAGACGTTTTTGATTCCATTAACAGCAGATTGCGAAGAAGGAGAACCCAGGGATGCAAGCACAATTATTCAACTAATAAGGTGCCATATCCGACCAGGATCTATTATTTACAGTGACTGCTGGTCGGCGTATTTGCCATTACCAGAACATGGATATAAGCACAAACAAATCAACCACAGTGAAAATTTTGTTAAACCGGAAGACCGAAAAATCCACAACCAAATAGTGGATGGCCTGTGGAAGACTGTGAAGAATATTGTCATCAGACCTGGAATGAAAACTGCTTTTTTAAAGCAATATATTGCTCGTTGTTTGTTTTTAAAAGCTACCCCTCACCATACTGAGCGCCTTCACAGGTTTCTGATTGAAGCGAGCAAGTTGTACCCGGGACCCAAATAAAATTGTGAATAACATCGTAAAAGGTGGCCTTCTTGTTATTTTCTTTCTAACAAATTTTTTTTTTTTTTTTTTTTTTTTGTAAATAATCACGCTCTTTAAAGTTTGCACATTAATTAAGACAAGTGAAGTTTCGGCTCATGATTATTACGCGAGGTAAACGTATGTAAACAAATGCCAGTAATGGCTTCCGTTTTGTAACCGCAACACGAATGAGCTCGAAATTTTATTGTCGATAAACTGCAAAATGGTAGATTTTTTTTTAATTTAGCATCTAAATTTACACCAAAATGATGAAGTTGCCCAAAAAGATTCACAAGGTATTAGAAGTGGCCTGGCCCTCTCCTGCAATTACGACCCTAGTATTAGGTATCCCAAACTAATGCTGCGAAAACTGGTGGGGGGGGGCGTTAAATTTCCTTATTTTATTTTTTGATATCTGCTCTTGCTGGGGTTTAAATTAGTAAATAAAATTTTAAATCTTTTCCTCTTTATAATTTTCTTTTTGTTGTCTGATTATAATAATAAAAATTGCAGCTTTCTTTTAAGTTTGTCACTATTTTATAATGACATACGCGATTTTTATTTTTTTCAAGCAAAGAATTTTTGGTAATAAACTCTGTATGAATCGAATTTTTAATTCACATGTTTTAAAGAAATTGTTCTATTACAGAAAAAAACAAAAAAAAACGTCGTTGTTCAACGTGGTGGGTTTACTTTATAGAATTTTTTTTCCTTAAAAAAAAAAATCCAAGTTGAAAACTTCAATGGAAAAAAAATTAATTCTTAAAAATATTAAATTTTTATTTACATTCGTGTAGCGCAGGGTTTCGTCTTTTATAAATAAATGCAATATTAATCTACCGACACAAATATAAGAACATTAATATAAAAAATAGGATGTATTTTTCTGTCATTTTGCCATTTAAGTCGATCGTTAGAAACCGACGCATCAAAATTTGTCCTCCGGTCGAACATCAGCAAAAAAAACTACGTCAGTTCCATTCAGTTTCTAGGTGAGTCTTTTAATTAAATAATTTTTTTATTTTTCATCGTATGTTTATCCGAAATTTATATTAAAGTTATTTGTGTTTTTGTCCAAACTGTTTTACTTTAACTACTACTCTACTTAGTAGTTAACTATTTCTACTACTACAATACACAAACGTGACAACTGTCATTTCTTCATAAAACAGAACAAATAACAAGAATCCAAATTAACTATAATTATTTAAAATAAAGTTGATATCAATTTCAATCCCTAACTTTTGCATATTCGTTCGAAAAAAAAATTGAATCTATTGAAGAATTCATTATGGCAGTATCTTTCTTCAATCGAGTAATTTGCAGCTTAAGCCCCGCACTCAGTTTTTATTAGAAAATTGGCGAATAGTTTTATTTTGGTATAAGATTACATGCTTAATTCGAAAATAACAATGAAAATTTGCTGAAATCTACCATTTTGGAGTTATCGACAATAAAATTTCGTACTCAATCGCGTCGAGGTTGTCCATTACGGACGTTGTTTTGATACGTTTACCTCGCGTAATCATAATCTTACTTAGTGAACGTCTTTTTTTTTTTTTTTTTTTTTTTTACAGATCTTCCTCGTTTCAATTACTGCGCAAAACCAACCAAAAGTTTCTAGACTCTTTTACAAGTGAACCTTGTATTTTGTATAGAATTTTTTTTTTTTTTTTTTTTTTTTAGAAAAATGACAACTGTTTTCTTATAGTGAAGCTGTAATAACGAATTCTTGGGTAAATAATAAAATAAAACCATGAATAATAAAACAAATTCTTTCTAGAATTTTTTTTTTATAAATCATGCTCTTTTGAAATTTGGCGCATCACTTCGGAAGGCAAATGCTTCAAACAAAACAACGTCCGTAATGGCTGCCGCGCTATAGCCGCGACGCGAATGAGTCCGAACTTTATTGTTGATAAAACTTCTAAAAAACTTGATTTCCGCAAACTTTTACGCCGTTATTTTCGAATAAGCTTCAAATTACCTTTCGTTTTCATTTGTTTCATAGCTGAAAGTTTTTTTCTAATTCTTGAGATTTGAGAACAAAATTTAACATTTTTAATTAAATTAGAAACTGAACTTTTCAAACATTAAAAATGTTTTTTAATTTAATAATCCATTTTTTAATAATTATTTTGCATTTATGTTGTCTCGCAAAAAGAAAAATACAAAAACTGCTAACTACACATTGTCAACTTGTAGTTGTAATTTTAAAAATGTAAACCCAATTTTTTATTAGAAATTTTCAGTATTAGTACCCCGTGCATGTAAATTAGATATATTTCTATAAACATTTTTCATTCATTTTGCGTCTACGACGTTTTTTATCCAATTTCTTTTAGTATTTCTCTAAGTCCTATTTTGGTGATAAAATTAAAAATTTATTCACATTTTATTACTCTGAAGACAATACGCGTTGAGCGGATGTCATAATTTGTTGAAAAATGCACCCCACCCTACCTAGATTTAACGAACCTCATTTCGAAAGTAACTCTTATTTGATACAATAGTTTTTAATAAAAATGAACACGCTACTGGCCATCTAAATGATTGGATTTCTCTGTATCCTTGGAAAAGCATTATGAATATATGTGCTTTTAAAACTCAGTAAATTTTAAATTAAGTTATTCCAAAATTCCCTTGAAAATGAAACAGAACTAGTGCTTTTAATTGAATTTGAAGTTATTTTCGATTTTGAAACATGGCAATTCCTGTGTAGCGACGGAACCATATTTTTAAATCAGTTAATTTATAATATTTATGCTCTGTTAATTTACATTGAGCACTGTTTTCTAAAAATAAAATTATCACTAAAAACACCGGATAATACAAAAAAAAAAAACGTGCTAAAAATTGTCTGTTATTTACTAGTCCCGGTTGGTACAAAGAGAAACAAGGTTTTTTTAATTAAAATTTAGAATGTTCTAAAAAGTAAAAAAAATTAAAAAAAAATAATTAAAACTTTGGTCTTTCCTCTTCATAAAAACATTTTTTTTTTTTTTAAACATATATATGTGTGTGTGTGGTATAAAATGACAATTGGGGAAAAAAATCTTCCGACTTTTTCAAAGCAAAAAAGAAATCAAAATGTTTTTGTTATAGTTACATTAAAAAATCCAAATTTAAAAAGATAGACGCTTCTGTCTAAGCCTTTTTTTTTTTTTTTTTTTTTTTTTCTGGTTAATGTAATGTAAATTACCTTTATAGTAAGGGATTTTTTTTTTCTTCAATGTCGACAATATAGTTAAATTCCCAGATCAATTCTGTGGACAAGACGGAATAATTACCTATAAAAGTAATTTACATTAACTAGAAAAAAAATAGACCTTTGCCCATATTTATATGTTGCAAAGAAGTGGTTATAATTGGTGTTCTATTTAAAAAGAAAAAAAAAAAAAAAAGTTTCTGAAATTCTTGCAAAAATTCAGATTTTAAATTTTCATGACAATAGAAATTGTTTTTAGAAAATCATGGTAAAAAAATATTTTTTACATGTAAACTCCACTTAATTCTAAGAATTTCAATAAAAATTTCACACACACTCACTAAAAAAGCATGGCTCATTGGAGAATTTAGATCAATTCATTTTTGTCAAACAAACACAATTTACCAAAAAATATACTGTGAAGTGTAAAATAAAAATTCAATAAAATGAATATAAATATGATATATTAAAGATGCTATTGTCTTTTTTAAAAAAAAATTCATCAGAATTTTCATTTATTTTAAAATTTTATTTCAAATAAATTTTAAATCTTAAAATTCTGTATTAATTTCACTCTTATATGATTAGTACATTAGTTTTTACTTAGTAATAGTCATACATGGAAAAGCTTAGCACAAATAATCAAACACCAAGATTATTTTTAAAAGGATCTTGGATTATACATAAAAGGTGGTTACTTTAGTTTGTTTTTTTTAAGTCCCTGTAGAACAGTATTAAATAAGCATCAATCTATTAACACATGAACAAATTAAACAATTACTGGTGTTTTTAAAAAATGCATTTCTTTGATATTTTAAACTTATTTATTTTTTTCAAATCTAATTGACTATATTTTAAATCGGCTAATATTCCTCAGTTTCAGAAAAGTATATTTTATTTTGGGAAGACAATTACACTGGCTAAAAATGGTGCTAAATTTTTTTTTTTTAATAGCAAAAGAAAAAACCTTCCAGTCAATTTAAATGTTTTGAAATAGAACAAAGTATTTTGCTTATTGGATATGTTAAATTTAATCTATCTAAACTTTAAAACTAAAATAAAAGATTCAATAAAGATTTTTCATTTTTAAAAATTCATTTTAAACATTAGGTATCCTGAATCTAGTGGAATCTAAACAGAATGGATACTTTTTTTTTTTTTTTTTTTTCTGCAATAAATAATAAATGGGGTGGGTAGAAATGCATTTTCCAGTGATGGTAGTAATAAATGAACTGTAAATTTTATTACTCATTTGGCTTTGTTAAATAATCATTAGGCAGTGTAGCTTAAATCTAAAAGAAAAAACAAACATTTCCTTATCCCTCCCTCTTTCTTCCTGATGTCATTGGATGTGGAAAAAGACCTCCCAGTTGGGACACATTTTTCCTTGCTCCACTGACAACTGAACTCACTTTCCCACGCATGTTGCTCACATGTGTCTTCCAAAACCTTCACCTATGATGTAAATCAACCTTTTTCTTTTGGTCGTTCCAACTCAGTTCAAGATTGACTTGAGCATGACCATTATAACAATGCTTTTCCTTACTTATGCTAACTTCTGTACCAAGAAAAAGAAACCATACAACTAACATGGCTTCAGTTTTTCTTTTTCTTTAGGTGGGAGCAGGTGTGGAAATTCTGGATTCTATTGCTTATTTTTTCTTTGGAAGGTATGTGTGAAGCCTATACACAATTGACAGAATTTTAATTCAGTTTTGGAGCATTCTCCATTTAGCTGGTGGTGGAAATTAATTTAGCATGAAGCAGAAGATCAGGTTTTAGGAAGAATGTAACGCCTGTAACAATTATTGCAGACTTGAATATGAGTCCAAGTAATAAATGAATAACACAAAACAATATAAAACAAATGACAAGGCATGTATTAACAAAAGTATAATAATTAAAATAAACAAAGTAAAAGTTTAAAGGCCAGTTTCATAAAGCATTTAAATTATATTTTTTAAGAATTGGTGCTTATGTATTTTCATAAAACATTTTCCTTTAAATTTGACAGAAAAAAAAATATATTGACAGGATGAGGCCTTAGTAATGGGCTCACCATTATCACCAGCCATGGCAAACCTATATATGGAATATATACTTTGACGAAATGGCATTAGGATCTATTTCACTAAAGCCAGCCCTATGACTGAGATACATAGATGACACCTTCATGCTCTGGCCACACCGAGAAGTCCTGCTACTACTCAATAAGATCGATACAGTTCACAATGGAGAGAGAAAACAACAACAAACATCCAGCATTTCTGGATATACTAATATCTCGAACAGAACATAGGTTCAAGACATCCATATACTGCAAGGCTACATTCAGCAGGCAATACCTCAACTTCAACTTCCACCACCTATACAGTGTAAAGAAAGGGCTCGTCTGCTGCTTACAACATCAAGCAAAAGTCATAAGTGGTGACCCAGAGACACATCAACAAGAAATGGTCTGTATAAGTAGTACCCCACAACATAACTACCCCGGGTATGTGATGGCTTCTTCGCCAAACTGGTATAGAAGAATACAAGAGGATAACAACACTCTGGGTAGGCAGACTGAAGCTGTTTTCTATGTGAAGGGATTATTGGAGAAAATACAAGAGATATGTGGTCCACATAACATCAAGACAATCTTCAAAAGTGGTTCGACATGTCTGTGGAAATCTCTTCTGACTAAGGCCAAATCAGAAGAGAACATGACTAAGGACTGCGTATACTCCGTCCCATGTTGCTGTGTTAAGAAATATAAAAGAGAAACAAGCTGCCCCCTTAAGGTAGGACTGCAAAAACATCGCAAAGTGGTAACACGGGGGGGGGGATAGAAAAACCAGGCATAGCTGACCACATATGGAGGGAAAAGAAACATCACCGCCCCCCTGCAGGATAAGGTTGAAATAATAGACATAGAGCATCACTGGAAAATATGAAAACTTAAGAAATCAGGACATATGCCGACCAAGCATAGAAATGGATACAATATGGGAACCAGTAATAAGGAGTGCTAGAGAAAAGCAATGAATAACAACAAAAAACTGCAGTATGAGCACTGGTAAAAGCAGTTTATAAGTCCCCAGAAATTCATACACAGATGGCCCAGTGGATCATTGGTTAGGTCCAGTTACTAGATTCAAGGAGTTGTGAGTTCAACACCAGGCTACGAAAACTTGGAGAGTTGAGTTAAATAATTAATGAAAATTGGGGAATCACTGAATTCCCAGAACTCTTCGGCCACATGCCAGTTTTAGGCTGAAGTGCATATAAGCATATGTCTTTGTGGAGCTTGGCGACTTTGAGTTGATATCCAGCATTGAATGCCTCTGAAATCCATGTCAGCTGCCTCCAGATTTCTTGATTCCAAGACTTTGAACCCAGCCCCTCCAGAAGTTTAGACAAGGCCCAGTGTCACTATAAAGATTAATGTGGGAAGGGTTAATTTTTGTTGCACCAAGAGCTGTATATGCCAATTGAAGATTAACCCCATGAATTTTTTGTTTTACTTTTTTTAGTCATGAAGATATTTTCTTCCTTAATATAGTACCTGCCATGAACCAGCACTGCAAGACTACGACCTTCAATTATCCACTGCTCTGAGTCTGAGATCAAGAACACAGCGTGGACAGAGTTGGTATGGATCAAAGCGACCAACAATCGCTTGGACCTGTGTCAGCATTCACTTTGATCCTTATTTTGACTGGAATGTTTTACTTCTTTTTTTTCTCTTTTATTGAATGGGTTGGGATGAATTCGCACTTGATATTGCACAAATCTTGCTAAAATAACATCTTCAAAGATTTCTCTTTATATAACAGTGAAATAAATAACATCTTCAAAGATTTTTCTATATATAACAGTGAAATAAAATTCATGAACACTCCCAAATTAAATAGTACACAAGATATATCAAAAAGTGTTTTAATAAAGTAACCTATTGAATTCATTAATGAATAAGTACTAAAAATTTTGTTTTAATCAAATTTCCTGAATTTCGGTAAATATTTTAAAACCTGCTTTAGGGCTTTTTTATTTTTTTAACTTGCATTTTTTTTTTTTTTTTTTTTTTTTTAAATCTGTTTTGATGATACCTACTTACAAATTTACTATAGGAGATAAGGAGATTGAATATAGAATAGGCTGTACTCTAGGTAGTTTCACCAATATCACAAACTTCTATATAACATTAAAACTCAAATCACGTTTTTTAAATAGTCTGAATCTGACAAGACTTTCATATGGATGTCATGCATGGTGCCAAACCCATCCAAAAATATTTAAACTGTCAACTGTATACAATTCCTTTCTCAAATTAACTATAAAAAATGGCATTGAGTAAATGAAGCATGTAGATCTTAGTAAGGACCATCTTACTTTGAACCTTGTAGACTGGCACTAAAGCGTTACAAAGAATTTTTCTAAATAACAGAAACCACTTGAGGATTTTTAACAGCAGCAACAACTAAAATGGTTAGTGCATGTCACTCAAAAATACAGTAAAACAAAATCTAGGTGTTAACGTTCCACATTATTTTAAACAAAAAATTAGGGAAGAATCCCCCATAAATACTGGCTTTGAGAAAACAACAATTTTCCCGAAAAACTGTTAATAGAAAATTTTTTATAAATTTCAACTGAAAATACCACTGGCTTTTGAGTCAATGAATGCTAAATGTTTCCTTATAAGGGAATGGCTAATATAACTGCCCTGCTGGGCGTAGGGTGGAAAGATATACGAGACTGGCCGCTGAAAAGTCGAAGCAGCACAAAGACAAGACGTAAACTTAACTCTATTATTCAAACTGCCCACTGGATCTGTCATATTCCTAGCATTCCCTTGTGGGACTAGAAGTGATTAGTCATCATCCATCATCATCCTAATGAACATTATTGATATTTTTATAACATCTTCCAAGGTGATTTTCTTTATTAATTTATTTCTAACTTTTCCAAATTACAAAATCAAAGTTTTTGGTTACAGTCCAGGGGCAACAACTCACTTTGTGAAATCAAACTGATATTTTGAACTTTGTATTGTTCGTCCACTTTGTTTTCCCAGTACTTTTTCTTGCATTATTATTTGTTTGAAGATTCTTGTAATGATCACTAGTTGGTTTATTTCTCAAAAGTCTATTTTCAAAACTTGAAAATGAAATATGTTTTCTATCTTTTCCCTTTGATTTGTTGTCACAATATACAACCTGTTGTCAGTGTCTGCTGACTTGACCATTCATTCAGTGTTCCAATATTTCTCTTTTATCTAATTTTATTCTAACTCTATCTCAGGAGTTAAAGTATCTTAACAAATGCTCATTTTGTAACATACACTGTCCAACAAATAAAAGGGAAAAGTTAAAAGTAATACTCCTTCCTCAAGGTCCATAGCAAAGAATTGATACAGTTATTTTCACTCAATGTGTGCATGGGTTCAAATCCTACTTTTGACACCATGTTCAACTGGAATTAGGGTGGAAAGATAAATTATGCGACTGGCTGCTGAAAAGTCAAAGTAACACAAAGATGACACAATACGTGGTAAACTTAACAACCTTATTATTCAAACTGCTTGCTGGATCTGTCTTGATCCAAGCATTCCCTAGTGGGGCCCAGAAGTGCTTACAATCATCATCATTATTATTGATGTTGTAATAACCATTACCAATTTTTTGCATGTTTTTTCTTTTTTCAGAGAATTGGGGTTATTGAGAAAACGATCTGTTTCTTCTCCTGGTCAAAATAAACATAAGAGAATTAAAGTGTCAGGTAAGTAATTTTTTTCTTTCTTTTAAAAATGTTTTAAATTGCGATTATAATGAATTAAACTGATTTTTTTTATGCATATTTATTTATACAACAGCAAAAAAATAAATGGGTTAAAATAAATTTCAACTTCCCTAATAAAAATACATGATTTGAATTTTTTATTATTTTTATTTTTTTGCGATAAATTGGCAGAACAAGCTTATTCCTATCAGGTGCAGACCAAACTAATCAAAATGCAGGTGCACCACCTATTTTCCAGCAACTCTTTTAATTTGGAAAAAATGATGGGCAAGAACTTGAATTTCATGCAATTACCTGATTAATTCACCAGGTGGCATTGTTTGTGGCCTGCAATCATATAATTGTTTCTAAGAGTCAATGCTATAGAAAAACAAAAAATACATAATTAGTGTGTCACAGGTGTATTATGACAGCATACCTGGTGTTAATGGTTGACTGGCAATCTACTTTTTATTTCTAAAGAAAGGAAAATATTTTCATGTTAAAACAATGTGATATCATGAAATATCTGGTTTATATCACTTATAGAGTATATAGTGTGAGAGGTGGAGTTGTAAGCTTGGCTGGGATTGGTCATTAGGTACAGTCTTAGGTCTGTTGAACTTAGTGTTAATTTTGATAATGGAATTGTTTGTTGGAATGAGTAACACAAAGTAGATCTTAATAGGTTTGTTTGATCAGCGATATAACCTACTTTCAGAATAGAATTGACAATAACATTTGTGATAATCAGGTCAGATGAGGGTGAGATTCTGGAATATGGAAAATGATCTGAAGGTGGATATGAGCAATACAAGGCCACCATTTTTGATTGGCTCACCAATGTGAAAATGTTTGGGATGGAGCTTCTCGTTTCCCCTCTAATAAATCGGAGTTGTTTTGATCAGGGATATAATACACTTTCAGAATAGAATGGAAAATGACACCTGTGATGATTAAGTTAAGTGATGATGAGATTCTGAAACATGGAAAATGTTCCATTGAAAGTGGATATGAGTAATACAAGGTCACCATTTTTGATTGGCTGACCAATGAGAAAAAGGCTGGGATGTGTTCTTGAGAGATTTCCTTCCTCCTCTTCAAGGCATATGACACAAGATATTTTGCTAGATGTTATTGTTATTGGTGACTATTTTTTATTATGCTTGGTTATTATTTTCTCCATGTTATCCATGCAGCTGTAGCTAATTTTTATGGTATTTTTGTTGATAATTTTTTGTTTTTAAGAAAGTGTTTGTGAATTATTTTGAAGAATATTTTCCCTTATTTTTATTTTATTATTGTGGGAGGGGGTGAACCAAATTATGTTTCTTTTTCTGTTGTTTTTTTTTTTTTTTTTTATTCTAGTTTGAATATCCACTGTTTCTGAAGGCTGATTCATATATTTTTTATTTTCATTGAATATTTTTAAGCTACTAGAATTTATTGAAATTCTTTTATTTATATATGTTGGTATTTGGTTAAATACATTGGGGGTGGGTAGAATTTTTGTTAATGTATATTAGGTTGCTGTTAGTTTTTTTTTGGTGTATGGTTTGAAGGTTTAGGTTGAATGTTATACCTTTTAGAAATTTAATATTTTTTGATTGGATTTTATATTTATTGTAAATCCTAGTGTTTTGAAAGTTTTAATTATTTCTTTTCTTATTTTTCTGTAGTTCTGCTGTTGCAGTTTCTTAGACTTAATAGACTATTATCTCTATCTATACCTGTATCTTTTTTGTTAGTAATATTTGTTAATTTATTGATTATGTATATGCCTATGAAGTTGCATATTTCTACATTATCATAGTTACCCATTGTTACATCAAAGTTATTATTATTATTGTTATTACAGTCTTTTTGTTTGCCCATAATTTTTTTATTGTGGTATAATATTGATTTCTGGAAGTGTTGAATTATAATTATTTCCTCATTGGGAATAGACTGTCCTGGGTAAGCCGTTAAACTACATCTAGCAGCAAGACCTCTGATCAGGAGGTTTTGAGGAGCATGGAACCACCTCTTAATTGCTGGTGTTCCCATGTTCACCCTGACCTGGGGTGATAGCACCTGTTAGGGTCCCAGCTATGGGCAAATAGTTAACCATTACCAGCAATACTTCTTTTGAAAAAATTACCAGCAATATGTAATGTTCTGCACAAGAAGCTATCGATGCTTGTTAGGTGTCAATTAATGCCTTGCTAGGATTTTAGGATGGTTCTTAATTGTCCCTCCGGTGATGGTAGCCTCCTATTCCCTTTTGCTGTAAAGCTGCTGATTAAAAGTAACCGGATGTCCGGAGGGGACCTAACTCTTGTGTCTCTAGGGGTTAGGTTCTGATACTGGGATTTGGACAATCAAGAACCATCCTAAAATCCTAGCAAGGCATTAATCGATGCCTAGCAAGCATCGATAGCTTCTTGCGCAGAACATTACACAATACAATTTTGAAGGAAAAATATTACCAGAAACAGATTTTTGACAAAACAAAATATTACCAGCAATAAAAAATTTTATTGTCATTAAGTAACCATTGAGGTTGATATACCGTAAAATAAACCAAACCAAATCATTGGGAATAGTCATGTATTGTTTTGCTAAGTTTTTTATATTTTATATATATATATATATATATATATATATATATATATAAAGCTTATCTATCAGTCCCAGCTAGCCACCTAAGTGCATCTATTTGTTTCTCAAGAGAATCTTCTTTCTCTGAATAAAAAGCCTATGTCACAGTTCTAGTGTCTGAAAAATTTATAAACAGAAAGGTCAGTCTACACCTGCAAACATTGGAAGCGCTTCCCCAGTCTGCCACTAAGGCTCATTTTGTCCCCTAGCTGTTATACAGTCACTTTTTGCTGGTGTTAGGACAGAATTGAGTTAAAAAGAACGAAACTGACAAAGAATGGCAATGAAAGAAGTTGTTGCTACTGTTAGACTAACCATTCATGGTAAAAGGGCCTGAAAGGAAGGAAATCTTTATGCAGAGTCTAGTGTCCACACCATCTACAAACCAAAAGAAGAAAGGAAACAATTGTGTAGTAATTGCCAATAATACATAGTTGTTTGTAATCATCAGAATGGCCTTGTGATTTGAATTTGTTTTCAGCTAAAATGTTTACCACAGGTTTGTCAGATATCTAGTTCAACAGGTAAGCACAATACCAGTTGCATCATAGCACAAAATAGATTATGGCTAGTTGCAATATAGTCAAAACAGATTCACAACTTGTCATTTAAATGTAACATGACATCAACAGTGCAGTTGGCAAAAAGTACCCTGAGTTCTTGACATCCGTCCTGTCATCAGTTTTTCACTGTTGCTAGAAAGAATCAAGTTGTCTTTATTACTTAATAATGCTTTTCTAACTCGCAAACATTTTTGTTTCTATTTAGGACAAATATTCCAGTATATCATTGTGCTTGATTTTGAATCAACCTGTTGGCATGATACAAAGCTAATACCACAAGAAATCAGTAAGTTTATCTTTCTTTTTTTTGAGTTTATATTTCAAATTGAATCTAAAAATGTGAAAAAAGTTTTCTAAAAATTAAATCATTACAAATAATACTTTCATTGTGGTTCAACGATTTTAATCACTGTCAAACGCTGTCAAAACTGCAGTTCTTTAGCTCAAGCAGAAGTGCTTTCAACATCCACAGCTTTTATGATAAAAACAGACCCTAATTTTATCTGGCTCCATGTACGCATTTGTGGAATATCATCCTAAAATACCAAGGTCATAAAATATCTTTTATCACCAATCAGAAGAAATCCATGCAGTTTTTACATCAACCATTTCTGAATCACTGACTATAGAGCTAATGCTGATTTCACCCACAAAGGCAGATCAAATCAGGCTTGAATTAGATATGGGCCCTATGGCAGATGAGCTAACCCAGGCCATCAGCAGTAACACTAAGGCACATCCATCAACTGTGATGCCTTCAGTCAGCGATGAAACCAGCAACCAGCTGGAAGTAACTCCTATGACCTACTGTTATACTACAAACTATCAGTCTCACACAACTGATATATGATATCCAATAGTGAGCAAACGATCAATCTTTGTAAATCACAATGAAATAAAAAAAAAAAAAGAAACTCTTTTACTTATTTCAAACTCATCTTATTTCCATTTGTTTTGTCACCTATACTTTTTTTTTTTTTTTACAGTAAAGCTGCTGTTACATCAACCTGTTAATATATGCATGCTGGTAGTTTGATCATAAATGATAGAATTTCTTTCATAAAATTCTGTCAAAACTTCAGACACATTATTACTAAAAAGATTTCTTTTACTTGGGCAAAATCTCAGAAAAGACAAAATTTTATTTTTTATTGACACATTAAGGCATTTGTATATGAAAATAGGTTGATTTAACTCTTTTTTTTTTTTTTTTTTTTTTTTTTTTTTTACAGTTCAACTTTGAAAAAGGCAAAGTAAAGTTTAATAAGAACTGACACCAAATCTTAGATTCAGAGATTTTTTTTTTATTTTTTATTTTTTTATTTTTTATTTTTTTATTTTTTTTTTTTTTTAAGGAACTCCTCATCCTCTAGATGACAAATTATTTTCAACTCTACAATCTCTTTATCACATCTCTATTGCCTATTTCCATGGAAAGTGTTCAAATGAACTACATTCCGTAGTTTCACCAGTTCTAACCTTCACATTATACCACACCCATTATGGTGAGCCACCCTATTCCTGGTTATATTCCATTGGTGAGATGTAAGTTCCACTTGAGCAGCAGCTTCCCATGAACTGCTGCTTTGTGGAACCAACTCCAAAGAAGATGCTTCCGTGATCCCTACAATCTTAACCTGCTCAAGTCTAGGGTCAACTGTTATCTTCCTTACATATCCCCATAAACTGTATTTCTTGGTCTGTAACCTCTACCTCGTGTGGCTCTTGGGCTATGTACAGTGGTGAACATCATTATAATATATATATATATATATATATATATATATTTGTATTTAGGCAGCAAATTTTCTTTTAGGCATGTCTAATTAAATAAGTTACAGGCATTATGTCTGCTTATCTTACTTATTATAAAACGCAGGTTGTGTGTGTGTGTCTTTAATGTTTATATGTTGGATCGAATTTCCTACATTTTTTTAGCCGATTTCAACAAAACTTCACAGGACTACATAAAATTACCTTGTGGTGGTTCTAACGGGGCCGAAAATGGGGAAAAATACAGTTGTTTTTTAATAAAATCAATTTGAAAACACGATTAAGACACATCGTGAAAATGAAAGGGGGGAACTCACCCACGAAAATGTAAACAAAAAGAGCATAGCATGATGAAAAAGGCGCGAACTTGGCGAAAAACAAAATTTTATCGTCTAATGTTCATATTATTATTAAAGAGGAAAGATCAAAGTATTTTGGGGTATTTTTTACATTTTTTAATCGTTCCTAGCACGTCTGAAATTTTCGTTAAAAATGTTTTTTTTTTTTTTTTTTGGTCAAAAAAAGGGCAGATAATCATTTTCAATCATTTTTTCGATTTGAAAAAAAGATTAAAATCTTACTTTGATATTCTTTTTAAAAGTCAATTATCATTTTTCAAAACTGATTTTAATAAAAACAGATATTATACTGTTTATTTAAAATATTTTGAACCAAGCTTAACTTAGCTTCTGCGCCGAAAAAATGTAATTTGAAAATAAAACAAAGCAGGTCATAACCTTTCGTGTAAACTTGATGATTGACGAAAGGCACATTCATGACGTTTAGATAACTTACGGGAGGAGAATTCTTTCTACGGATGGAAGGAAGTGAAATTATTTAAGTGAACAAATTATTTACCTTGTTACTTTTAAGGAAAACTTTCAACGCTCTAATTTTTTTTTTTTTTATTTATTTTTTTTTTTTTTTTTTACTTAGCTTTTTTTTTTACGTTTACGATGCTTTATGGAAAATATAAAGAAATTAAAAAATAAGACTGTTAATAGTGAGATTAAATTTCATAAGAAAAAGGTATCTAATTAATTTAGGTACCTTTCTTATGAAATTTTATCAGAAAATGTACATAAAATACTATAATTTTATGTACATTTATTACATTTTACTGTGTTATTTGTATTTCCATTTATTTTATTATTAATTTTGATATTTCATTTATGGAAAAAAATGTCATAACTGAGATTAATATAAAAATAAGATCATATAAATTAAAGTTTAGCAGTAGTTAAATTTCATAAGATGATACTGTTACTTGTAGGTACCCTTCTCAGTTGAAATTGAAAACTCAAATTAACTTCTCCATACGTGTTTCGCAAAAGTAAGGGGTTTAACAGCAGAGAACAATGCTGAACTCAAATAATGCAACTAAATTGTATTCTGGTTGGTCTTCCGTACTCGATAATTACTATCCGACTATACTCACAAAAATTACATTTCTTAATTACCATGGCTAATCTGATTGGTCCAAATTATACAATTTTCAAAGCGCTAGACAATGACAAATCTCACACGGACATTTTGAAAGGTTGATGTTGCTTTTAACTAATGTTAAAATATTTTTTAAAATTCAATTTAAACATTTTTTAAAAATCTTTTTAAAATTAAAGAAATAAGAAATAATTGTATTAAAAATTCAATTTTCATTGAAAAAATTTTTTGCTTTCAGAAAATATTGTCCATATTCATAAAAACAAATTAAAACATTTGAAACTAAATAATATATTTGTGTTATTGAGTTTTGTATGTTACAATTCACAGCTGATTTTCAGGTACGTTGGCCAAAAAACAAAAAAAAAACATGATTTGCATTCTTCAAAGCCTTGTGCTTTTAACTATTGTAATCACTAAAACCGATGGTCTCGAATTTCTAGAGTTTTTCATAAAATTAGTTATGGGGGTGTTAATAAATATAAAAAAAAATATTTCTGCCATGACTTTAATAAAAAAAAAATATTTATAATAATTTCGATCATCTGTGAATAGTTTCTGAAAGTTTCATTAACATCTGACAATTATTTTATTTTTGCAAGATTTTCCAAATTAATGTGTGTAAATACAAAAAATGCGCTAAAATTATCTGTTATTTACTACCCCTTGTTGCGACAAAGAGAAACAAGGTTTTTAAATCAAAATTTAGAATATTCTAAAAAGATGGAAAAATTTTTTTAAATAATTAAAAAAAATTTAGTCTATCCTCTTCATAAAAAAATAAGCATTTTGACGATAAAATTTTGTTTTCATAAACTTTGGCGTCTTTTTTCATCAGACTATGCTCTGTTTTAGTGATTTCGTGGGTGACTTAGGTTAAAAAACCCAGGTTGTTTTGTGTGTGTGTGTGTGTGTGTGTGTTCCTTTATATATGGGATCGGATTTCTTACATTTTCAGCCGATAAAACAAACATCCTTTTTTTTCGGCAGGTAGTATTTCTTATTGTCTTGCACACTTTTTTCTTTATTTACATTCAGAATGCTTTAAAAATTCCATTTACAAGACAATTGTTTATAATAAAATTCTATTCACCAATCGATAGACTCATAACGATTGTAAACAATGTTTTTGTTTGAATTTGGGTTTGACCAATTTAAAAAAAAAAAAAAAAAATAATTAAGACATGCGTGTCCGTCAACCTTAAACAATAATCTTTGTCAATTTTATTTTTCAGTCTTTATGATGGTCGATACTTGATCTATCTCTTACTGTTACATCCCCGGGCAACGCCGGGCTCTACTGCTAGTTTTTAATAAAATCTGTTTGTACTCATGAATAACCTTCTGTGTATTGCAATTAAATGATGTGAGAGATGTGCTATAAATATGAAAATAGTTTTTATTTTCCATTTCCCAAGTACTTTCGATCTTCTGAGATTATCTTCAGGGGTGCAAATAGTAATACAAAACTGTGTGTTGTTCAGGAGTGCAAATAGTAATATAAAATTGTGTTGCTATCCATTACTATAATTTACTTTCATATCATAATTCAACCTAGACTTGAAAAGGTTAAGATTGTGTATATTTAATTGCACAATGCCAAGGCAAAAAAATCTCTTCATGTATTTAAGGAAAAAGAAAAATTTAATGATAGGTTAACTTACCAATATTTGCAAAATCTGTTGCAGCTGTTAGTTAACCTTGACATATTTGGGAAGGCTATTAAAGTAACCCAGAACCTATATTGGCAGCAAACCACCTGTATACAAATAGAAAATGAATTCAGTAAATATACAAAAATAGGAAGGGCTGTAAGACAAGGATGTGCCTTCTCACCAGACTTATTCAACTTATACATTGAAACAGTTCTGAGAGAATTAGAAGTCCTACCAGGATTCATTGTTGGCAGCCACAATCTTAACAATTGCAAGAAGACAAAATGCATGGTTGTTAACAAAAAGAACAGCCCAACATGCAAATTATAAATTGGAGATACCAAAATCAAACAAGTACAAAAATTTAAATATCTGGGAAGTGTTTTAACAAAGAAAGTTTTAACAGAAGGTGTGGCACTGAAATTTGAAGGTGCATTGGGATAGCAAAAGAGGACTTCCAAAAGCTAAGCAAAGTATTAAGAAACAGAAAAATATAACAAACTCCTACAAAATAGTAGTGAATGTAATATCAGTTCTCTTATACAGTAGAGGAAATGAAAACAAAAAGGACATATATCTTACATTAGGAAGAAATAGTTTAAATTTCTATGGTATATAATGAGGAAAGAGGTCTTGGAAAATTTGATACTCACAGGACATATTGAAGGCAAGAGAAACAGGAAAACCATGCATAACCTACCTAGTGGGCTTGAATAAATGGATAGCGGAACAAGTTTTAGGTGAGAGTACAAAAATACAGAATTTATTAAGATCTACAAAGGACAGGAGATTGTGGAGAGCCATGATCACCAATGTCCTGAAGAGATACAATATAATGATCTTTATGCATTTTCTAAAGTAAATATATTATAAACTAGCTCTTGTGGAGGGCTCTTGATTGGGCCTTTGGCTTGTTCAAGAGTTTGAGAGTCCCTAAGTCTTTGCATATTCTCAACATTGAAAGCTCTCCTGGCTGCCATTTGATCTGGGTTTTCATTTGCACATGGCTTTCTTTTCCTCACTGCAGACATGGCTCTTTTGATGCAATCTTGTCCTCTGTTGGTGAAGACTTCTTTTTGCAAAGCATAATGCTGTCGCATGTGATAGACTACAGAAAAACTCACGATTGATTGCTGCATTTAAGTATTGCATTAATACCTAGGCTTATCTTTTAAAAGTTCAATGATAATTCTTCTGCTGCCACTTAATTTAAAGACAATAAGATGTATGTAGGTCATTACTTTCCATACAAACAATTATTTTTATTTCAAGGGTGACTTTTACTGGATTTTGCAATTAAATTTCAGTTATTCCCAAATTTATTTCCAAGTTATAAAAAATGGTTATCGAACAAAAAAATTTGTTGCAAAAAATCACATAAAAAAAATCACCAAAAACAATTGCAGTAATGAAAACTTGGGAATCTAAAATTTCAGGATTGTGCGTCAGGATCTGATCCGGAATGTTTTTAATTTGCTCAGTTGGCCTGATTCCAAAATGATATATGTTTGACCTTTTAGAGTAAAGCTAAAAAGTGTGACACGTCACGTGCATTTATTTATATAGATGTGTAAATTGTCATTGTCTTTATTATTGTTAGTAACTAAAATTAGTTAGTCCAACTTATTTTTAAAATATCCCCAAAAGTTGCACATATTTGATAACCCTGTCCTTTTCCTTTCTTTTTTTTTTTTTTTTTTTTTTTTTTTTTTTTTTGACTTTTGTTTACTTGGATATTTTCCTTAGTTGAGTTTCCTGCAGTGTTGATGAACACCTCCAATGGGAAAATTGAGAGTGAATTTCATTATTATGTTCAACCTCAAGAGAAGCCAGTTCTAAGTGATTTTTGTTGTGAGCTAACAGGAATTTCTCAAGTAAGTGGAGTATTAATTTCATCATGTAATAGTTTGAATTTTTTAAAAAATTAAGATGATTTTTTTGCAAACTAAGTCACAATTTGATTACTTTTTTTTTTTTTAATTTCATTATATATATATATATATATATATATATATATATATATATATATAGTGCTATATTTTCATATCAAAATTATGATCACTTTCGTTAATGTGGACAATTTATTTAATGAAAAAAAAGTTTGTTTACGAATATTTACAACCATAAATATTTCAAGTGTCAAAGTTTAACATGTACCTACAAAACATCCACTGTGAAAAGTAATTTTTTTTCCCTCCTGACATCAGTATTACTGTATCCTCCAGAGGCAATTTTTGTTGTAACAAGCTGTAATATTTCTGACCAGATTGGAAGAAAGATGAAGAGACATATATCACGATAGTTCTTTTTTATTGGTCCTATGTAAACTGTCCCTTAACAAGTGAACCTTATGGGATATAACACTACATCCCCCCTCCCTTTCAGTCATAAGGTCCTTTACAAGGTGAATCTTTTAGGTGGTCTGGCTTGCTGATTGCTTCTGGTATATTTTCATTGATCGGTGCTAATGTTTGTTTGATCAGGAAAGACTTGATTCGTCTTCACAGCTGTGCATTAATTCATATCAAGAGGTGCATGGTAAGGCAGTTGTCTCCTGTGGCATAGCCACTTGAGAGAAGCTTGAGGCAAATATCATTTTTCATTTAAGTCCTGAATCTGTCTTAACCGTGAGCACTCTGCATTATTAATATTATTTCCCTTTCCACTGCATTCTTTTTCAATGCCTTTCAATTGCAGCAACCTTATTGTTAAATTCACTCAAAAGTGTTTCCTGTTGCCATAGCAGGATATGACAACACAACTATGAAATTCAAATTCAGGGATCAGTCACTTTCAGTTGCAGGATAAACTTTCTGCACAGCAAATGATGTTACATACAGTGTGATAAAGGTTAACTAGAACTGACTTTGGTGACAGTCTTGCTTATTGTAGCAGTACTGGCCTTGAGTGTATTTACTCAGACTGACTGCCCTTTTTAAAGGAAGAATGGCCATGGGTTCTAGGAAGAATGACAGAGGCAAATATATGGTTGTTCTTTTTTTGCTGGTTCTACATAAACTACTAACTGCCAGGGGCCATAACTGTCCCCTAACTGGTGAACCTTAAAGGACATAACACTACACAAGCTATTTTTAGAATTTAAATAAAACACAAACATATGAATCTGGATTTTTATGCATTTTCTTTCTTTTTTCCCTCTCAAGAATTGACAGTAAAAGTATTAAACACTATTCTTGTAAATAAACAGTCTAATAAATAATGTTTAACATTTTTGTTGTCAGTTCTTGTGGGTAGGGGTATAAATCCAGATGTTTACATACTATTTTAGTGAATTTATGTGGTGAGAGCAAATGAAAGAAATGCCTTCTGTGTATTTTCAAAATTTATAATTACAGTTACTCACCATTATGTGTTTATTTAACATTAATTGTGCAGAGTGAGCAGCCATGACGAAATGCAAAATAAGAGAATTGTCTAATAAACAGAACTGACAAAGTCCACATAAGAAAAAGAATAGAACAAAGCAAAAAAAGAGATATATAAAGCAAGCAAACAATATATGCAAGACAAAATAACAGTAATAAGGCGAGCAACAGTATTATGGCCAAAAGTTTGCAAACTAAGAATGGGGGTTGACACACAAGAGCAAGTTCGGATAAGTGAACGCAGTGTTCTCACTTAAAGACAAGACAGACCGGGATTAAGCCATATAAAACTGAGAACCAGCCTATTTTATTGGCTCGGAAGAAATCCCGGTATGCATTTGTGTACTTATAAATTAGGGATGGGCAAGTGTTTTGCAGTCATTCTCCATGGGGTTGGAACCAACAAATTGTTCAGCCGTTTTTATAAAATAATAAATAAAAAAAATATTCTTTTTGTATTTATCTCTTTATAAAATGGTAAGTAATAAATATTTCATTGTAATTGGTTCAGACATTTTTATAATCTTGTAAATATAAAATTATTTTTGTAAATAAACAATGTTTAATTCTTTTGTTGTCAATTCTTGAGAAAAAAGAGAATTCATAACTCCTGTTTCATATATTTTGGTTTTATTAAAATTCTAAAAATAGGTTTTTAAAGCAATAAAAATTGCTGAGGGAGGATACAGTCTAGTCCAACCTCTTTAACCTGTGATCTGACAATTTTTTTTTTTTTAATCAGCTGTAGCAAATGAGTCGACTTAAACAGTGTAAGGGACGCAACTCTTTCCGTCTGAAAATGTCTGCAACGCAAAACGATGTACACCAAGCACGGGTGAAATGTTGGTCTGCCAATGTCTCCAAGCAACCTGCTTTTATGGAGCCCAGACACACCTCATTAGCATGTGTGTAACGCGACTTTGCGTGACTGCATGAGACCGTGAATATTAAGTCACGGACGCCATTTTGAATCTTTTCTTTCCTTTCTCAACCCACAGGCCAGGAAGATGCGAGAACGTTTGCGAGGTAGGCCGTTTCTATTTTCCCCACATCAGCCCTCATAAATTTGTTTGAGGAGTTATTGAGGGCAGGGAACCACAGGTTGTTTACAACTTTCCACACAGTCCAACAGTAGCAGAGTTATTTGGTAATACAGTCTTGCTCATTTCTTATATAGTTGCATGTTTACCCATTCAGGATAATAAGTATGTATATGTTGGTTTTTTTATTTTTTTTATTGGCCTTTGTATTTTATGAAACAATAAAAACATTGGAAGCATTAATGATTGTTTTATTTTTGGTTTTAAACATTGTTCTACTTTTGATAACACAGCAATATATACGTGGAATGAACTGGTAAGACTGTTTACATCCGGTAGTAGCCTGGTCGCGAGGGTGCTGGATTAAAGGGGTTGGATTGTGATAGTGTAAAGAGAAAAAAAAACTTTCCTTTTTGACATTTTGTTTTTATTTTATTTTATTTTATTTATTTATTTTTTTTTTATGTGTACAACTGTTCAAGTTTTTTTAGAAAAATTTGTTATTGTTTTTTATCAATAAAATGTCTTTTTAATGAGAAATACATCAACTTTGTAATTTGGGGATTTATATCATTTAATTTTGAGCTAATTTTTTATTTTTAGATTAATATTTTTTAATCATGTTCAGTATAAATTGTCTATAGCAACATTTTTTTTTCTTTATATCAACACATTTCCTTTGTAAATTAAATTTTCAGTTGCAAGATACTCTGAATGCTGAATTTTTAAAATGGAGAATGCCCTCTTTAAAAAATACATCCATGAAACTTGATCTATAAACTGATTTCTTACAAAGAATACATATTCTATTTATAAGAACCTACCCTAAAAATCTTGTTGGCATTAAATAACCCATTGTGGTTGATATGCCATAAAACAAAATAAACCAAACCTAAACCCTTATTTTTTAATTAAAAATGTGAAAGTTTTGTTTTAATTTACTTTATTAATTCACTTTGATAATTGAGCTGAAAATCACCCAGGAAGTTCAAAAACCACAAATGTCCACTTGGCTATATTGTCTCCTCATTTTGATTTTAAATAATAAAATAAAATTCTGCTTCTGAAAAATAATATTAACATTAATGATGACATTATTTTCTTAATTAAAAAAAAAAGAAAAGATATTTAGTGAAATTCTCTCTGTAATTTTATTTTAAGCATTGTATATTTGAACTTTTCAGAAACAAGTGGATGATGGCATTCCACTGCATCTTTGTTTGAAATTATTCACTCAGTGGTTAGAGAAGTTGTACAAAGAAAAGAATATTCAATATTTTTCGGCACCTGAACAAAATTTTAATTTGTGTACATTTGTTACTTGGTCAGGTGAGAAAATCTTTTCTTTTCTTTTCTTTTTTAACCAATTGAAACCAGCTGAATAGATAGTGATTTTCTAAGATTGGCTTAGATGTGGCACAAGGCTGAAAATATGGGACATGCAGTGAGGATCAAACTCACCATTCATAATTGTTCTAGAAAGGCAAACTTGCTAACCATTACACGACATCAATATGCCCAGTGATTTTACAAGCATAGCTTAGATGTGATACAAGGCTGAAAGTAGGAGGCATCCAGTGAGGATTGAACTCACTACTCAGTTGTAATTGTTTTAGCGAGACAAGCTTGCTAACCATTACTCCACCTTGAGGTGCCCAACCATCTAAATAGATCTCACAAAACATTTCTTTACCCTGTAGTGATTATGGGGATTGTTCTGATGAAACACCCCCCCCCCAATCAGTTTAATCTTCATGCCTGCAAAAGGATGGTTATTCTCTTGACACCGCTATTACTGTATACACTTTTGACTCCCTTAGCAATATTGTTTATTACACTGAATAAAAAAAAATCGTTTTCAGTTATTTATAAATTTGCTTATTTGCAAGAATCATTTTATATTTACAAGATTATAAAAATTTGTGAACCAACTATGAAATATTTATTTACAATTTTATAAAGAAATAAATATGAAAATTTTTTATTCAGAAATTTATAAAAATGAGAAAATTAAAACAGCATAATCTAAGAAAACGTATTATGCCAGGAAAATCCTACGTTTGTTCAAATTTTCTTGTTCTATAGTTCATTGATCATACTTATTATAAAACCCAGGTTGTGTGTGTGTCTATTCGTTTATATATTAGATCGGATTTCCTACATTTTTCAACCGATTTCAACAAAACTTCACAGGACTACATAAAATTACCTTGTGGTGGTTCTGACAGTGCCAAAAATTGGAAAAACACAATTGTTTTTGCACGAATTCATTTTGAAAACACAATTAAGAAGTATCATTGTCGCGAGAATGAAAGGGGGACAACTCATATTGAGTTATACTTATAAAACCCAGGTTGTTTTTGTGTGTGTGTTTATGTATGAGATCGGATTTTCTACATTTTTCAAACAATTTCAACAAAACTTCACTTTTTTTTTTTTTTCTTTTTTTTTTTTTTTGGCAGGTAGTGTTTCTTATTGTCTTGCACACTTTTTTCTTTATTTTTACATTCAGAATGCTTTAAAAATTCCATTTACAAAGCAATTGTTTATAATAAAATTCTATTCAATCGGTAGACTCATAACGATTGAAAACAATGTTTTTGTATGAGTTTGGGTTTGACCAATTCAGAAAAAAACAAAAAAAATAATTGAGACATGCGTGTCCATCAAGCTTAAACAATAATCTTTGTCAATTTTATTTTTCAGTCTTTATGATGGTCGATACTTGATCTATCTCTTACTGTTACATCCCCGGGCAATGCCGGGCTCTACTGCTAATATTTTTATAAAATTATGAATAAAAACTTGTTTTTATAATTATTTATAAAATGGTAAATCATAAATATCACATTGTACTTGGTTCAAATATTTTTATAATCTTGTAAATAAACATTACTGAAGGAGTCAAGTTTATACAATGATAGCGGTGACAAAGGAATAATTATTCTTTTTGACACTGTTTTTTGCAGATACCATGCCAAGGTTAAACAGTGAATGTTTCTTTTAAAGTTGCACAAATACCTCACCAGCTACTGCAATTAAGGCTTTTATGTATTTTTAAAAGATATATTCTTAGAATTTCTCTATAGTTTGTGTACAGTGCATTTTTTAACTTGGCAATTTTGCATGGAAATCACATGATTTTCAGATTGGGGAAGAACCAAAAGTTTCATGGTGCCAAGTTGGGAAAATAGGGAGCCTGTTGAACAAGTGGTGAGTTATTATTGACCAGGAAATCTTGGTGCACTATTTCTACTTTTTGCATTTGGTCATCTTGCATAAAAATGAAAATCTGATGTTCACTACATATTTGAGATCTAGGTGTAACAGTTGGGAACTGATGCAGCCTACTCATGCAAACATTTTTATGCAGGCCAGGTGTGGTATCAACTCTCACCTGAAGGATTTTACCCACATGGCATTAGTTTTGGCAGAAAAAAAATAGTCAGATACTTTTTGAACACACAGTGGTTTTTTTCACCATTTTAATTCTGATTCCTGTTAAAATAGTCACAAATATAAATTCTTATTGAATTTTGAAGGAATTCCAAATAAAGACAATAGATGTAATGATTTATTTTTTTTAGATTGGGATTTAAACTTATGTTTAAAAAATGAATGTAGACGAAAACAACTTCGAAAACCACCAGAACTAAACCAGTGGGTTGATCTTAGAGCCACATACAAGGTAAGATTGTTTCTTTTATTTGCTAAACTAGTAAATTGAATCCGTTGCTAGGTCACCTGCTAAAAAATGTTGCTTCACTGTGTTGGGCAAGACAATTTCCAGAATCTATCTTACATAACTTCACTAGTACAAAATTTTAACTCTCAGTCAAACAGCAATTTTGTCTTTGAAAATGATGAACACTACTATATTTGTCTTGAAAAAACACCCTGATGATGAAATGTTGCTAATGTCAAAAGTACTTGGAAGAAATATGTATCAACACAGTAATTTTTCTCTTCCCTTAATGACACGAAAAAGCTTGTCCATGAATATGAAAGGATCCAATTGAAAATAAGCATACAAACCTTGTCTAAATTTTTCAATGAAACATGTCTCAATGAAAACATGCTGCTAATATATATATATATATATATATATATATATATATATATATATATATATATGGGTCTAGGCTTCAGTTTCAAGCCTTGAATAGCAACCTTCATAGAAATGGCATCTCAATAAAATTGTACTTAGACTATCATGGGTGTCCAAGTTGGGAGTTAGCAAGACCACCTGGCCTTGTAATATCTTGCCTCAAAATATTATGACAATTATTATTATGATAATCCTTTGTCAGGAAGGGCTCACCTTACTTTGAGATTAATCCAGGTCTTGCCTCAACAAATATATATATATATATATATATATATATATATATATATATGAGAGAGAGTGAAAAGTGTATATAGTAATAGTGGTGCTAAGGGAATAACTGTCTTGTTGAGACAGCATTTGATTTTTTGTTTTGCAGGTACAAAGGTTAAACTTTACCCCCCAAAATAATAATACCTTGCTTTATATCCACTAGAATCTCTTCAGTTCCTTCTCTTTCACTTGCAGTTGCCCTTTGTGCCTCAGTGGCATTATCACCTTGCTTGGAGTGGTGCCTCTTACTCTGTAACCCTCTATCTCAAGTGGCTCTTGGGCCTTATATAGGGTGAACATCATTGTAAAAAAAAAAAAATGTTAAATTGCTCAAACTTCCTAAAAAAAAAAAATAAAAAATACCAATATTTTAATGTAGAAATAAATGTAAAATAAATAATATACTTTATTCATAACAGAAATTTTATGACCGCAAGCCAGATGGATTAAACGGAGCCCTTAAAGATCTTGGCATTGTGTTCCAGGGAAGAGAACATTCAGGTAAAAAAAAATTTTGAATGTTGATATCTGTTATAATAATTTTTATTCGATATTTTATGTACCATATATACTTGTGTATCATGCAACTTTTGAAGACCTAATTTTGAAGCTAATTTTAAGGGGGTCACATCATACATGAGATATAAAATTAGCCTATGTACTGCCAGCCCTTGCTACACCATAGAACAAACTGTATATCTATTTACTGTAGTCAAAAAGTACAGCTGTATTTAAAATAAAAATGATTTTGATAAAAATGATGTTTTACTGTATCCAATAATAATGCATGTAATATTTACATATAAGTACCATATTATAAAATACAAACAGTGAATATGCATCTTTTTCATTGTTTGTTTATAAGATGTTTAGCTGTTTCTCATTTGTTTATGGCTGTACATGTTTACGCAATGAGTATAGTATTACTAACAATACTCTTATCATTCTCTTTTACTTCTTTAACTAGAAGATGGGATAAAGAAGAGGAAAAGATGTTAGTCTATTGTAATTTAGTCTCTCAAAAAAGGAACTTATATGACATAAGCGATACATGATAATTTTATAAGTGAAAATTTGGGGTTCACACAACACGCAAGTATATACAGTATATTCTACACAGGCTAATTGATAAGTAAATTCCCCAATCCAATGAAGCATATTTTAGGCCAACCTCTTTTCAGTTTTGGTAACAATTAGAAATTTGATAGTACCAAATTGGGGGTGTATGTTGAACAGGCAATGACTGACTTTCAGGCTCATCTCCGTTTACACCATTTGTTAACTCTAATGTGGCCTTGTGTGTTATAATGCAAAAAAGAAAAAAAATTCTCCTTTCAGGCCTTTTTCTATAGATACATTCTTTTTCGTGCATACAGTTTCATTACTTTCATACAGTTATGAATTTTGATTGGTGTACAACTGCCCAATTCCAGAAATTCTATCACTAAATTCTATGTTTTATATATAACTTGAGTCTAGTACAAAAAAACTAACAAAATGCTATTACTCAATGCTGCAGCAGAGAAAACTGACAAGCATGTTTGAACAACACTATATATTAGTGTTCTGAAAATAATTTTTTTTCTCCATTATGAAGTACTGGCCACCTAACCAAGGCAAAATCAAGGTTGAATCATCAGAAGCTGCATTTAGAATGAGTTTATCATGTCTTCTATTAGTTTCAGAAAATAATTATATTTCATTGCTATGAATTATGAGTCAACCAACCAAGACAGAATCAGGATTGAATGGTTGGAAACTGCATTTAGAATGAGTTTATCATCTCTTCTATCCAATAATGGATATATCAGAATTTAATAGGGAAAACTTGCAAAAAGGTAATTTGGTTTCCTTGTGCTTTTACTTGAGAACTGAATAAAATGCTCCACCATCTGCAACAGTCTTTTAACCATAAGATTCAATCTTTCATTGTATCATCATATTCTTACAGGTGATGAAAAATGGGTTTTGCTTGTCAACAGAAAATGAAAAAGACACTGTTAGCACCATAACCGGAATTCCATTCACAGAAGTCTATGCTTTGTGTCTGGAATATGAAACGTATTGTCTATTACAAGGTAGTAGAACATGGTAGGACCATCACTGCAGATATATATTTCTCACAACTTGATTGGGTGAATGAAATGTTGTTTAAAGTGTATGCTTTTGTAAATAGAAAAGTTGTCATTCTCCAGCATGGCAATCGAAGGGCACACAATTCTGCAAATCAACCCCAAGAAGAAATCAAATTGTTAGGATGGGGTGGGGTTCTTCCACAACCTCCATTTTATAATTCTGAACATTCAGAAACAGCCTTTCAAATTTTTTTTAAGGAGAAATCCAAATTTATTTAACACAAAAAATTATGCAGCACTTATTTTGATTAATCAAATTACTTAGAACGATTACTTTGCTACCGTTATGGTAATTTACCCACGCATACATGGCCTCTCCCAGCTATAAATAGGAGCAGGTACTACCTTTTGGAGAGAGAAGTTTCCAGCTGTCAGCTCTGACAGTTGAACCAAACATTCTTGCTGTAACACTCTTGTTTGTATATGTTTGTATTACTGTTTTTGTTAATATATTTGTTTAACTCAATTCCTCTCTTGTGTCTTTGTCTGGCCCTAACAAGGCCAGAACAGCTACTTATATAAATGTAAACACAGTTGGCAGTAAGTGACCAGTGAATATAAAAAGGCATTGTTGATTATTTACAGCTAATTTGTTTAAATAAGTAACCAAATAATTGTTTTAAGTTCACTGATTATCAGTGCTTTTATTTAAATGTGGCATTGAAAATTTACCATCTTGTTGGGTTGCAGTTATTGAAAATAGTTTGATTACATTTTTGGTAAATATCTATATTTCTGAGACGAGGTGTTGTAACTATTTACACTATTTACTTTGTTTGGACTTTATTGTCATATTCACAAAGTTTCGGCTATTGTACACTCTGGTCTTCTTCACATGATATACGTTGGGATTTTAAACTGAACCCAAGGTCATATGGCCCAGTGGATAAGTCTTGATTGAAGTAATCCAGTGACTTGTCCCAAATAGTTATGAGTTCAATACCTGGCCACAGCCGAGGTGAACAAAAACTTGGAGAGTTGAGTTACTAAAGGGAGATAACTGAAACTGAGAAAGCATGGCATGTGAAACTAGAACAATCTACCCCAGTGGATGGAATAAAGGGTTTGGTTCAAAATTCTATCATCTGAAGCATACAACAGCCAAAACGGTGTGAATATGGCAATAAAGATGAAGACAACAGTTCAGACAATGTAAATAATTCAAAAAAATTTAACACACATTTGTTTTTATATCCTTTCTGATAAAACTTAATTTCTGAACGATAATAGCACTCGGATGTTTTTTATTACCACTGTTAGGAAAGATTACTGACATGGCACATAGAAAAAGTTTACCTAAAACTGTCAAAAAAAAAAATATCATTTGAAGTAATTTTTTTTGCAATTTTATTACTTTCTTTTCTGCATGAATTATCTGGGATTTTAAACTATACAAGTAACTCTGTTGTTGAACATAAGAAATTTATGCTTTATAAATTATTAAAAGTAAAAATATCCAAAGAAATTTAAAACAAAAGAAACAAAAAAGGAATGTATTTGCAACCTGATCTCCCTATTTACTAATGAGGCATTCATTTATTTCTGCATTATCATACATCAGAATAGTTCATTGCTAAGAAAGAGTAATTAGGTATAGTGACCAGTAAATAGAATTCATTATTGGCAGCCACATTTTTAACATTAACCCTTAACCTTTACCATGCTGGAGGCAAAAATTGTTGCCATAGAATTCTCTCCCTTTGCTACTCTAGGTGCATTATGCTGCCTTGGTTTGGTTTGTTTTGTTTTACGGCATATCAACCTCAATGGGTTATTTAATGCCGTCAAAATTTTCATTACTGGTAATATTTTGTTTTCTTCAAAAATATATTGCTGGAAATAATTTTTTTACAAAATATTTCTGGTATTAAAACTTATTTTTACAATTTCATAGTGTTTTTACCCCAGTTTCGGAGTTGACTATTTGCCCATAGCTGGGACCCTAACAGGTGCTACCACCCTGGGTCTGGGCTGACCTGGGAACACCAGCAATTAAGAGGTGGTTCCATGCTCCTCAAAACTGCCTGATGAAGAGGCCTTGCTGTTAGACGTACTTTATCGTCATGCCCAGGACGCGGGGGTAGTTTGTCATGCCCAGGACAAATGTTGTTTTGATACAGTTGCTATAATAAACACTTGTCAACTGTTATTTCCAGTATTTTAAGCTGGAAATTGCGTACTCCTGCTTTGGAACAAAGCTAAACTTCTGTTTTCTGACACTATTTTAAATTCTTCTAACCTCTACACAAGGTGTAATATGTAACATCAATTAAACCTACATTAATTTTTTCACAAATTTTTTTTTTTTTTTTTTTTGTAAACAAAAATGGCCACCTCAACATCCAATGAAGCCTTTATTCAGGAGTTTTTCTTTGATACACTCTGATGTTGATTTTGAAGGCTTTTACTCATATGGATATCGATGGTGAAGTAGTCAAAGATGATAACCACATGTCACTATGTGGAGGAAAATGACTATGGCCACTAGGGGGCTACTATCATTTATGGCTGACTAATTTTATGGAAGCTACTGGCAATCACTAATATACCTGATAGCCTTTCTGAAGTTAAATTATTTCATCTATTTATAAATGATGAAATAATAACTTTATTTGTCAAAGAGACAATTGTTAATGTATTTGATTTTTAATTTCAATTATATTTCAATTTTTTGGCTTTCAAAATGTAATACATTACATGATGCATTACATCAAAATATTACTCATCCATTCTTTTATTAGTATACAAAAGATAAAATCTATACACACAATACAAAAAAAGTCATAATTTTAAAACAGTACTTGCTTGCTTTTACACCCTCAAAAAAATAAACTGACGGGGTCAATTTTAGAAAGAAATTAGCATAGTAAAGGTTAAAATGTTGTATACAGTGTTGTGATTTCAACAGGTAGTGATACGGTAGTAGCCTCTCCGAAGTGCAGGGTTGAAAGATGTTTAAATGAATACTGTTTGCTCCCCAAACCACATGCTCTCCTCTCAGCCATACCAACAAGTTCTAAAGATATACAGGGCATTAGATTTTAGCTCTGCTTGGCTGCAGGAATTGTCAGAAAGTTAAGATATGCAGATGACACAGTGTTGATAGCAGACACAGAAGGGAAACTACAAGAACTTGTATAGATGTTAGTAATGGAAAGCAAGAAGAAAGGACTAACTATTAATTGCAAAAAGACAGAATGCATGGTTGTTAGCAGAAGGAACAGCCCAACATGAGAATTACAAATTAGAAATACCAAAATCAAACAAGTACACAATGTAAATATCTGGTAAGTGTGTTTTAGCATAGGATGGAAAGTGTGACATTGAAATCTGAAAGCACATTGGTATAACAAAAGAGAACTTCAAAAGCTAAGCAAAGTATTAAGAAACAGGAAAATTTTGTTAGAAACAAAGAAAGGAGTGCTGAACTGTGATGAAATATCAGTTCACCTAAATGGCAGTAAATGCTGGACAATCACCTCACAGATGAAAAGACATGAAAGAACAGAAATGTGGTTCTACAGAAGGATGTTGAGAATACTATAGACTGGGCAATGACAAAGTTTTAGAGAAAATGGAAACAAAAAGGACACATACTTAGCATCAGGAAGAGTTTGTTGAAATTTCTATGGCACATAATGAGGAAAGAGGGCTTGGAAAATTTAATACTCACAGAACTTATTGAAGGCAAGAGGGATAGAGGAAATGAGCGCATAACCTACCTGGCGAGTTTGAGAAAATGGATGGCACAGCAGGATTTGGGAGAGATAGCAAAAAGACAATTTATTAAGAGCTACAAAGGGCAGGTAATTGTGGAGAGCCATGATCACCAATGTCCTGAAGAGACACAGCACATAGAAGAAGAAATAGACAGGAATCAGTAATCATGGCTCTCCACTACTTCACATCCTATGTAGCCCTTAATAAAGTTTCTTTTTGCTATGTCTCCGAATCTCTGTTCTGCCAACCAATTACCCAAGCTCATTAGGTAGGTTATGTGCTGATTTTCTCTATCCCTCTTGCCTTCAATCTGTCCTGTGAGTACCAAATTTTCCAAGCCCACTTTCCTCATTAGGTGCTCTAGAAATTTCACTATCTCTTATATGTTGCATATAAGTGTCCTTTTCGTTTCCATTTTCTTTAAAACTTTGTTATAGCTCACATGTTCAGTCCCTGGTATTCTCAGAATCCTTCCGTAGAACCACATTTCTGTTGCCTCAAGTTTCTTCTCCATCTGTGATGAGATGGTCCAGCATTCACTGTCATAGAAGATTACTGACATTACATAACAGTTCAGTACTCTTTTCTTTGTTTCTAACAAAATTTTCCTGTTTAATACTTTGCTCAAATTTTTGAAGACATCTTTCATTATCCCAATGCACCTTTTGAATTTTGGTACTTCATTTTCCATCCTCTGTTTAAAACATTCCCTAGATATTTAAATTTTTGGGCTTGTTTAACTTTAGTATTTTAATTTGTAATTCTCATGTTAAGCTGTTTCTCTTTGTGACACCAATACATTCTGTCTTCTTACAATTGAGGTTTAGTCCTTTCTTCTTGCTTTCCTTTACTATTTTCTGTAGGAGTTCTTTTAGTTTTCATTCTGTGTCAGTTATCAACAGTGTGCCATTTGCATATCTAATGTTAATATTGTAGCCTCAAATTTAATCCTAGTATGACTTCAAATTCTCTCAGGATTGCTTTACTGTAAAGGTTGAATAAATCTGGTGAGAAGATGCATCCTTGTCTTACACCCCTTTCTATATTTGTGTATTTATTCAATTCATGCAGGCAGTTTGCCTCCAGTATAAGTACTGGATTATTCTAATATCCTTCCCAAATAAATCAAGCTTACCTGGCAGTTTGAACAGTTCTTTGTGATGTGCTTGATTAAAAACTTTTGCATCATCTATAAAACATAGGAATACATCTTCTGTATTTGTATTGCCTATCATTCTGAGCATAAACATCACATACCTTGTTCCAGTGTCTTTAACCACTTCCCTGCCAATTTATAAAAAAATTACCATTATATACTTGTATATCATGCAACCTTTGAAGACCTAATTTTGAAGTTAATTTGACTATAGCAAATGAATATAAAGTTTGATCAATGGCATAGCCAGGGTCAGCAGTACATACGCTAATTTTATATCTTGTGTATGATGTGACTCCCTTAAAATTAGCTTAAAAATTAGGTCTTCAAAAGTCACATGATACACGAGTATATATGGTAATTTTTTTTTTTTATTTGTTTTTGATATAGTAACTAAGAAACTGAGACACTTTGAAGTAGCTAACACCTCTATCAGATGTACGGTTGATAATTGGACTTGTATGAAGCTCAGAAGGGCATAAAAAGAATCAACATATAAACGTGTCTGTAGCTGATTTTTTAACATTATTTTTTAAATGTGTTTATTCATCCAGGTCTTAAAAAAAAAAAAATTGGGTAAAAACATAGATACATGTCTACACCAGGGAAGGGGTTAACAAAGCCATACTGTTCTTGTACTATATCCAGTTTAGAAATCTTAATTTTTTATTTTGTAAGATATTAATACCTTTTTAAATAAAAACAAATCCATTCATTACTTGCATTATTTGGACTATTATCCTCATTTTCATTGCCATATTCACAACATTTTGGCTGTTGTATGCTCCAGCCTTCTTCAGGTGATTGGAATTTTGAACCAAGCCCTTTATTTCGTCCACTGGGGTAGATTGTTCTAGTTTCATGTGCCATGCCTCTTCTGGATGTCTCAGTTACTTCCCTTTAACTCAACTCTCCAAGGCCGAAACATTGTGAATATGTCAATGAAGACGAGGATAACAGTCCGAATAATGTAAATAATGCAAGTAATTATAATACCTTGTCTCAGAGATATAGACCTCCGAAACGTTGTGAATATGGCAATGAAGATGAGGATAACAGTCCGAATTAAATAATGCAAGTAATCATAATACCTCGTCTCAGAGATATAGACAAATCCATTCATTGTCTTAATAAATCGTTTTTTTCTTGTTTTTTTTTTTTTTTTTTTAATTTTAAAAATTGTTTCATACTCATTTAATTTTGTAGGAGTGGATGATGCTCGTAATACTGCTTGTCTTGCCTGGAGAATGATTCAAGATGGCTGTGTTCTGAAAATTACGAAAATTTTACCTGGGGTATGAATATAAAAATGTCTATGAGCAGCTTTTAGACATTTTTCGCTTATTTTTTTATTTGACAATTTTTTTTTTTTTTTTTTTTTTTTACTATTTTATTGTATATTATTATTTTTATGTAATAAAGACCTTGTTGTATTAATGCTAGTTTATTTGCCCATATTATCAAGACAATCCATTCCTGTTTAGAAAAAATAGCTTTCGAGAACATTACTTATTGTTTGCCTACTTATACATCTCTTATCTGTTGATAAAAAATTCTGTGGATCTCGATCTTTAAAATAAGATATTTTGAAATGTCACACTCACTGAAATTGTTCCTTGGAACAAGTGTAGAAATAATTTTTTCATTTGCTTCTATCTTTATACTATGAAGTTTCTTATGAATTCAATAGAAATTAACTTGTTCTGTGTGTGTGTGTATATATATATATATATATATATATATATATATAATCCCCTCTAGAGTCAGGATGCTGATGGTAACACCTAGATATTTTAAAACTTTCTACTGTATATCAAGGTTTTAACTAATAGCTTTAAATAGTTTTTTAAAAAAATAGTTAGCCATCTCAATAACTTAGTTACCTCCCTTGACGTTACTGCACATATATGCTTACATCATGAAATTTAAATATACAGTACATAAGTTTAGTGTTTTCCACTTACTAATAGCTTTAGTTTTTTTTTAAAAAATAGCCATCTCAATAACTTAGTTACCTCCTTTGACTTTACTGCACATGTCTGCTTACATCATGAAATTTAAAAATCATACAATACATAAGTTTAGTGTTTTCACTTCTTAAGTAAAAATATTAATTTTTAGATGAATTTTTGTCTTAGAAAAAACAAGACCCTGAAGATGATATTGTGCTAATGTCGAAAGTACTTGGAATAAAATGGTAACTTTCTTTCTTCTTTTAATAATAATACTAAGAAACTTGTCCATAAATATGAGAGGATCCTTTTAAGAATTAGTAGACAAAACTTGTATAAATTATTTAATTTGAGATGTCTTTATATATATATATATATATATATATATGCACACACACACAGCCTCTTCTCACTTACCAATTTACACATTTAATGATCACTCAAGCTTATGACATGTTAAATTATTTAATGATACATGTCTTAATGAAAACATGTTGTCAAAATACACACACACACACACACACACACACACACATATATATATATATATATATATATATATATATATATATGCATGCATGTTTTCATTGAGACATGTCTCATTGAATAATTTAGACACATTTTGTTTACTTATTTTCAATTGGATCCTTTCATATTCACTCAGCATTCTTCATTCCACAAGTAAGAAATTTAACTTTCAGATAAACAGAACAATTTTGTCTTTGAAAATAATGAACGCTACAATATCTGTCCTGCAATAAACAACACCCTAATGATGACATTGTGCTATGTCAAAAGTACTAAGAATAAATAATATGCAGCAACACAGCTATTTTCTCTCGTCCTTCAATAACGGCAGGAAAAAGCTTGTCTGTGAATATGAAAGGATCCAATTGAAAAGTAGACAAGTAGATAAAACTTGTCTAAACTATTCAATGAAACTTGCCTCAAAATATATATAATATATATATGTGCAGTACTTATTGGAAAGTGCTCGATATCAGTGATAGAGCTAACACATCCAGTCATATGGATATGAGTTTGTAGCCCTAGGTTTTCACACTTTTGTGATCATCACTGCGGGAAACCCAGGGTTACAAACTCATATCCATACAACTGAATAAATATATAAAAAAATCACCCTTTTTTTCTTCTTCTTCTTTCTTCTCCATACCCCCTTTCTTTCTATTACACTCAGCATCCTGTTTTTTGACCATCATGCACCTGTTTATTTATTTTTGAAAAATAATAATGTAGCATTCTTAGTGTTTTTTTTTTTTTTTTTTTTTGCATTTTTTTTTGGCATTTTTTTTTTATAAATAAAGCATTAAGGTGGTCATTTGAAAAATATTGCCTGGTGAGACTATGAGGTCGAAACCAAGGTTGCGTATTCAATTGACCTCCTGATTTTTAAAGTTATATATATGAGAGCTGTTGGTGTTTGTTGGATTTGGCTGATTTTAAAATTAAACAGTCACTATTAGCTCTAATATTTAAAAACAAATCTCTCTGAAGAGTACTATATCTCACACAAGTCCTGAGGGATATGGAGACCACTCATTAGGCATTGCTGTTATGACTTCCATAGCAAGAAGCTTTTTATAGTATAACTACCAGCATCATGACTGGTTTTGAATTCAAAGTTATCCTTCTCTTAGAATGGTTTCCAACCAAGGCTGGACAGACCAGTTTGCCCTTCTATTTAAACCATAGCTGGGGAGAAAGGGATGGAGGCACACCTTTCTTGGTTTTTTGCGTGAAAGTAAATGTAACAAAGTCAACTGGAAATTGAATTTAGTTTGGTAATTCCACGCCACTAAACATTACACCAGCTGCACATTCTGTTGTATATCTGTAGAGTAACTGGCCATGGTTAAGTTTAATTCGCAAAAATAACAAAAGAAAAAGTTAAGACATATATTTATATCTTATTGATCTATACACCAACCACTCTTAGTGTGGTCAATTTTAACCATGAAAAAACTAAGAATCTCCTCCACCCAACCTCTTTACTTATATGAAATCCCACCGACATACCAATACTGTTGACCAATTGAAGAATGCAGTGAATGCGTCTTCATGGGTAAGAATCTAGGTAATATATGAAATCTTCTATTTTCATCATTTTTTTATTCCTTTGTTTTTTTAATTTAGATGTTTTCTTTTTCTGTATTCCCACTCTGAGATTTTTTTCTCACTCTGATTGTTATCATTAAGCCTCCTATTTAAAACCACTTGTTGCAATTGAAATTAAATTGTACTTTATAATTTTGGAGTAATTTTAGAATATTTATCCACAGCTATCCACGTTTATCATATTCCATTCTTACTGGTGCTGGACAAATCAGTTAAAGAATGTCATCTGCATACCTACTTTGAAATAAGTGTCATTCGTTTTTGTTTTTTTTTTGTTTTTTTTTTAGCTGATAAGACATCTGAAATTATATTAAGTTAATGTTAATATGATTTCTCTTTTCTTAGTTTATGTATATATATATATACACACACACACACACACAATCTCAAATCTGTAAGTGGAAAGGATAATCCAAGTAGGTCTTTTTAATATAAATATTAAAAAGATAGATCCATGAAGAGAGCTCAATGTATTGTATAGAGAGCAATATGATATATATCAAAGGAAAAATGTTTTTTGTAATTTTGTTCTGATGAGGCAGGTATTAAAATTTTACCTGCTGAAGTAAATTTATTACCAGATTTTTTGAGATATGTTAAGTTTTTCCTTTTTTTTTGTATGTATGTATGTATATATATATATATATATATATATATATAGAGAGAGAGAGAGAGTGCGTGCATAAAATGAACAAGTAAAAGCATATAAACAGCAATTATAGAATTACAAGTCTATATATATTATATATATATATATATATATATATATATATATATATATATATATATATATATACACACACACTTGTTCTGTGCCAGCATTTAATGAATTCACCTCTAAAATGCTCTTAATGACTAATTCCTCTTCAGGTTATGAACCCAAAACTAGACTATTTCAATGGCGATGGATCCAAATATAAATTATAAGAAGTAAAATTTTTAAAATAAATGAAAATCCAAAAATGGCACAAAATGATTTTGGCACCATACAATTATCTCGATGACAAAGAGTACTGTGAAAAGAATGTAAATGCATTTGCAGAGTTAATTCAATTCCTTGATGATTGAAATCTGTCTCTTATTACAAGAGAAGCTCCTGACAATAGCAAAAAAGCACTGCAAATTTTGAGAGAACATTACTTATCAGAAGGAAATCCCAAAATAATTTCCTTGCATATTGAATTAACCTCCCTATAAAAGGCAAGTAGTGAAAGTATTATGGATTATATTATTAGAGCTGAAAATGCTGCAAAAAAGATTTGAAGTGACAGCTTGCTAATAGCCATGGCCCTAAAACTCTTTCCGTCTGAATTTAAAACATTTACAACTGTTATTACTCAAAAAAAAGACAAAATAGTAACGTTTAGTGAATTTAAAGTAACATTGCAAAGATGATTGAAGAGAATAACTGAAAATGCTGTAATGGCCCTCGGAATGCATAGGCCAAGACCAAAGCCACAAACTAATAACATTCGCACTTGCCTTACATGTTTTTAAACCTGGCTATAAAAGCTTTGATTGCCAAAATAAAAGTCAGTATTATTCAGTAAATAATTCCCCCCTCAAAATATAGAATTCCAATTCACTCAGACTTGTTGTGAACCTGAAACGAATGCCTTCTTGCGAACGAACACTTTGACAAGCAAACGGCACCCACGACTGCTGCCGACAAACGTACGACCGACTGCAACAGCTTTTGCCAAAAAAAGACACCAAACAACTCACCTGTCTTCTTCTTGTAGTCCTCGGTTGAGTCCATTATGGTACTCCAAGGTGTGCCTGGCAAAACACACACACACAGTTCGAGGACGCTTCCGCACATGCCTGTTACACTCCTCCCTGATCTCGAGATCACACAAATGGCAATGTGGGGCAAGCCGTTTTGTCTCCGTGGTATGGTCTCAAGCGCTTCCTTAGTGGTGCTCTCTTCAGCCGTCTCACTGAGCTCATCCCGCATAGATTCATCAGGTACGCTACTCTCTGAGATTTGTTCTTCCTGTGGTTTTTATATATACCATCGGGGCTTCACCATCATCTGAAGAACTAACGTGATCACTGACGGAATAATCCTTCCCGCATGCTGGACGCACATCTTTTATGTGGCGCGGTATTCCATCAACAGAGACACAGTGTGGACTATTAATCACCGTTTCCTTGTTGAACTGTCGTACACCTTCTGTGTGGATTTTTCACCCAGACAGTCTCTC